TTTTGAGGGGGGGGAGGGGGGCGCGCACCCCCGCGCCCCCCCCCCCCCCCTAAACCCGCCACTGCAAGTGTCGGAGGAATGTCCCACGAAACGAGTATTCTGGCCCTACAACCTAGCGGACTGGTCTCGACTTTCTCATTTTTATCGTCAATCTGACAAGACCGCAGCCATCAGTCAATGTCCCAACAAATCATGTCATAATGTCACCGACATCATTTCACAAGGCATGAAGCAATTCATACCAGCTCGTGACCTTGTAGCCCGCCCGTCTGACCCTCCTTGGTGGACTCCTGACTGTTCAGCACAGGCGAAGGCAAAACAGGAAGCTTAGGACCGCTCCTGCGCGACTCCTTGTCCACAGCTACGACTGGGGGCCCTTGAGGCGACCAGGCGTTGCACTCACTATCTGCGCCAGGCGCAGGCAATACGCCTTGCCACACCGAGGGACAAACTTTCACGTGGGAGCATGTCTGATCGAGAGTGGTGGTCCACGCTGAAGCAAGCAGGTTGTAGTGGGTGCAGCACAACCATACCAACTCTTGTTGACACTAACGGCGTCCGGGTCACGGCCAACTCCCAAAAAGCAGAGCGCTTTGGCATGTTCTTTTCATCAAAGTGCAGCCTCGGAGCAGATGACTTTCCAAACAATCTGCCATCAGACGATCTGCCACCTATAACACCTCGCACCGAGTCTTGGCTCTCTACGGATACTGTCAGAAGAGAGCTCAGAAGACTGAATCCCATGCAAGCCACAGGGTGCTGAAGAATTGTGCCAAGGAGCTCTGCTTGACTGTCGCCCGGCTGTTTTCCTTGTGCTTTCGGCAGCAAGTGTAACCGAGGTTGTGGAAGGTCGCCCGGGTTGTTCCGAATCAGAAGAAGAAAGCTAGATCAGACCTGCGCAACTGGCGCCCGGCGTCTCTCCTCTGCATTCTCTCCAAGACAATGGAAACAATAGACCAATCCCGAAAAGATTGTCTGGGTTCGAAAGGGGGCATGTCAACTGAGAGTACACAGTACAACACATACATGGCACTACCTGATCAGCATGCGGCACAGGACGTGTTTGATAGTTCGCGTGTGAATGCGAGGGTAAGCACACGGTTTTCTCGTTAGTTGCATGCTAGCGAGACGATGCAACAGAAAGCAAAGCCCTTTGTAGTTTTCTCTCTCGCACTGGTAATGGTCTGCTGTTGGAGTTGAAATGCTAAGACATAATCCTTGTTTCGCTCTTCTGTGTAGTGTGAAGAGGTCAACGAACATGTAGAGCTCACTTTGATGAAGTAGGCAAGGCTGTGAGCGCTGTGGCTCAAAGCGATAGGCCCTAAATCTTACGAGATATTTCGAGTGCTATTGTTTGTTGCGAGCGCTTCGTCTTCGATGAGTCCTGCCTCTTTCCTGGCAGCTGCCCTCCTATAGGACCAACCACGAAGTGACTGTACTCATCTGGAGCCGATCAATGTTATATTGCACAAAAGGATATCGTTTTCGCCAAGCCAGTGCCCCACCAAAGACCATCGCCGTGTCACACCGTCGGAACGAGTTCATGATGAGAAACATCATTCGCGCGAGCGTGATGAAGAACTATTTCGAAAGACAACATAGTCTTTACCCCCGGGACTACAACTATGTGCACGTCCTGCAAGGGGAGAATGTCACCAGCGACATCAACGAAGACGACGGCAGTATTTCGGAAACCTGGAGTCAGCGGAGGTCGTCAAGCTCCTCCGCGACCCGGTACATGTACAGTATAGGTGACATGTCGACACGAGCGTGCGGAAACACAGCATACACTGTAGTAATGTTGCGAGAGTTTGCGGAAGGAGTCCAAGTCGGGAAATCCATCAGCTCCAAAAGCTACCTGTAGGTGGGCGATGAGACTCCAGCTTCAGACTACAACAGTCAGGACTTGTAAATAGTTGAACTTTGTGAAGCAGCAGATCGAGAAGTTAGCTGAAATCTTAGCTGTTGCAGTATGTCGGCGCTATGTAGCTTGCATTTTTTTACGGAGAGTCGATCGCCACGCGAATGTTTCTCTCCTCACCGAGAGCTATCTGGCCTCCAAACTCCGTCAAGGTCTGCCTAAGGTACCGAAGGTCCTTTGACTAGCTGCTGGCAGGACTCCATGAAATCCTTTGGCTTCAGCTCGGCGAGCAAAAGTCTCTCTCTCCTCCGCCATGAGCTGACACACACAAACTGAATACAAAACGATGCACTTCACATGTGCTGACTTGCACGCGTGCCCCCTTTCACGAACCCAGACAATCTTTTCGGGATTGGTCTATTGGTAACCACTGTATCATGAACTTTTTCTCTAAGCTTGGTGTAATCTCCTCTCGGCAATATGGTTTCCGGAAGGGACTCGGTACATCAGATCTGTTAATGAAGCTGCACAACGACTGGTCATCCACTGCGGCGAGCGGCGGCATGGTACATGTACTGGCCATCGACATTGCCGGGGCGTTCGACAAGGTTTCACATCGAGGTGTCCAGCAGAGGCATGTGGACTCAGTGATCCGCTCCTTGGCTGGCTCTCAAACTACCTCTGCTGCCGGCAACTACGTGCTGTAGTCGGAGGACAACAGTCATCAGAATACCCTGTTCTTGCTGGGGTCTCCCAAGGAAGTATCCTGTGTCCAACCCTGTTTCTGGTTCACATAAACGACTGTGAGGAAATAATACCGGATAGCACCCCTGTGGGTGTATACGCAGATGATACCACAGTCTACCAATGCATTGCGGCCACGTGTGACATCCCGGAGAGTGCGACCCAGCTTCAGCTAGCCGTGGACTCCATAGCTCAATGGGGTGCTGAGTGGAAAATAGCTCTCGAACCGACCAAGTCCCTGGCATTCAGGATTGACTTTCACCGTCCGGCAACACCTCTTCCCCACATACTGTTCAACGGTACCAGTTTGCCTGAAATGGGCGAGACCAAGATCCTCGGGGGTTTTGTTCGACACAACACCGCGATTCTCGGCCCACATACGCCAGGTTGCCACCAGGGCCCTCCAAAGCCTCCATTTTCTCTGGAATCTGGCGCCGCTTCTGACAGCTGCTGGCCGTATTGCTGTGTACAACGGCTTCATACAACCAACCATGGAGTACTGCTGTCTAGTCTGGATGGGGGCTCCATTGGCCCGCCTGCACGCTGTACAACACAGGCACTAAAGCTGATAGACCCTCGAGTCTCCGTACCAAGCCTGGAGCATAGGCGCAGGGTGGCGTCCCTGAGCTTCCTGTACAAGCTCTGCTTCATTCCACCGACGAGCCACTTGAAAGCAATTATGCCCAAACCTCTCCAGCTGGCGGATGAAACCCCCAACACCCGTCTCTCCGCCCAGGGACGCCAGTAACATGACTTCCCCGTGCGCCTGCCTTGCCGTTCCCGCTCAACCATGGCCAATGCTCTCCCTGTTTGCGTGCTGAGCGCATGAAACTCCCTACCTCGGAGAATCTTCACACAGCAGCCATACAAGGACGGGACACTGCAGTTCAAGAAGATGGTCCACCTTCACCTGTTCACCGGCAACTGGATGCAAGCAAGTCTTGTAAGCCTGCTACATGAACTTGCTGAACTACACGCTCTCATGTATTCCCTTTCTCAATCTACCCACCCCCCCCCCCCCCCGCCTCCCCTCCCGCTTCCCCTGTTCTTTCTCTTTCCCTCAAACTTCCATTTATCTGGTGCCTTCAAAGCATGACGATATCTAGACCAGGTGGTCGACGGAGCGCCTGGCCCCCACCACCATGGTTGCTGCATGTTCCCATTGAGTGCACCACATGGCTTTTAGTAAAAATATAATAGGACTCAGTGTTCCTCCTCCCTCTGGGTCACCTTCTTTTTACCAACTGGCTTATCAACGAACTGCATTTACTGTGGACGACCGCTGGCGACAAAGGCATACTGGTATGGCAGTTTGGTATCTTCGAAAACCGTCTCGTCACGCGGAACGCTGCTTATCTGCTTCTTTACGCCAGTAGGGATAGTCTCCAGGATTTTTGGTTGGTGGTTGGACTGCAAGTCCATATATGATGGGGTGGTATTCAGTTTGCGACAAGATTGGTAGACACCCGGGTGAATTCCGCATCATGCCCGGAGGCATGTCGCAGGATGGCGAAACCAGCATAGCTGCATAATCCGATGCTTCTTTCCTGAACAAGAAACCTCTGTTTACTTAGGATGTATTCACCCACCAGCTCACATACTTTGGCAACAGCAAACGATCCCATCTTTACTTCAAAAGCGGTATTGTTCTCTTTCTTCATCCAGGCTTCGCCACAGGTTGAGGCTCACGGTACTGCGTAGCATGCCAGCGATCCCATCTAAAACTGCCTGGCGGACCATGCCTAGTTCACATGTCGCGGGAGGTTTTACTGGCAGTGGAGGAAGTCAGTGAACCCGGTCTTGTCGTCTTTCCATGTCACAAAAAAACACTGCGTCTTAGCAAGTAACCAATCTCATACCATCTCAGCCAAGCTCTGTAGCGGTCTTCATAGCTTTGGCATTGATGTCGCTGTAGGCCTCATCTGAAAAACACGGGTATTTCTTGGTGATATTCTTGCGCAGTAGGGTCTGATACTTTTCGGTAAGCATACAGTACAGGTTGCGCAACTCATTGGCTGAAATTACAACGTGCATTAAATGAAAATTGATATATTTGCCCCCCATTCGGTGCGATACTGGATAGCTTTGTCTGCTCCAGAGCCGGGTCAGCCGAGTCAGCGACCCGGTTTGGGTATACTTGAACCTGTTTGGAAAAAGAACACCGGGTCACCTGTGACCCGGTTTGGGAATATACATCGGAGAGTCCTAAATAGTTACAACTCCGTAATGCAGTAGCCACACCTGGACGGACCCGGCGCTGGCCCGGTTGCATGGGTTGTGCCAGGTACCAGTGTGCCTGATTGGTTTGAAATCCTAGTGCAGACACTGCATAGGTGCACTCACAGTTCTCAAATGTGCCGCAGTTCTTGAAAGTCAATGACATATGCATACTTACAGAGTCTGTCAAATTAACCCGCGCTTTAGCATTGCACAATATCTCAGCACACTCAGGAAAGCCTTTCTCGCAGGCTAGGTGGAGAGGTGTACAGTCCAGCTAAAGCACACAAACAGTCACCAACAGGATTATTCATTAGTTGAAGGTGCTGAAAAGGGACCAAAACTGTAAAGAAAAATTGACTGCCACTACCAGGATTCGAAAATTTAGACCAGTGATGTTCTAACCACGGAGCTATGGTACAGCTCTCATCGCAGCAGAGACAGTTGAATAATTTATTCAGCCTACAAAACTCACGCTTCCTCTTTCACTACCCAGGCTGGGGGGGGGGAGGGGAGGGGGAGGGGTGGGAGGGGCTTGAACCAGGGGCGTACGCCGCTCGCCTCCAGGAGGGGTTCCCATGCCAACTGGTCAACCAACATTCCACACAATTGCAAGGGCTGTTTTTCGTATCCTAAATAGTTTCTGCATATTCTCCTCAGACAGGGTGGAATTAACATCCACAAGCTGCTGGACGATGTCATTTCTGCGCATTTCTGATTTAAAAAGACTGAACCTTCCCTCGTTTTTATGGATGTTTTGTTCAGCATGACAATTGCAAGCAGTCTTGAATCGGGGTATATTCGAGAGGACTGCGGTAAAGCTGCCCAAGCTTCGAATCATCTCGAGCAAACATCACACATCGTAAGCATAAGCCGCCATTGCACGCCGGTCGAAAGAACACCCAGGGAAACTCCTCCAACAAGGATAGTTGAAAGCAGCGCTGTTTGCCATCCATCTCATTCTGCACACGCACAGGAAATGAAATCCGGCCTTCGCCTTCGGTGGCGCACAATGATTGTCGATGACGGAAATCTTTTCCGTGTCCGGCAAATTTCGGGGGACTGGATTCAACTGTGGAAGTCGACTTTCAGAATATCCCTTCCAACACACTCCCATGTCACTGAAGTAAGTCTTGGATGATCCAGCAGCTTCCAACAACGGTCGCTCTACAAAATCGACGGCGATTTCTTCCTCAGCGCTGCGCGTTGCAGACTCCGCTTGCAAATTAGGTGCGTCTGCATTCTCATCTATCGCTTGACCTTCGCCACTGACTACATGGTTTACCTGCTGCTCAAAATAGCTCTGAATAGAGCGATGGCCCTCTGGATGTCGACGCTTCATTTTATTTCCACAAAGCGAAAGCATCGTCGAAAACACAACCAACTTTGTCAAAATAAACTATTATTATTACTTCGTAGTAAGCACTGCCGCGTTCAAGTCGGTGGATCCAATTAGGTCCACCCACAGGTTCGCTCGTCCTGGATAGATTAAAGTAAGTGGATAATGATTTGATGATGTTGAGCTACGTAATAAAGAATAGTTTCCAAAAAGATAAACACGGTGTGACAAGGGTAAAGACTGCACGCAAGGCAGTGACTAAATAGTCCTGCATGTGGAAATAGCACTGAACAGTGCTGTGCATGTAATAAATCCATTTTTTCCTGTAATAGTTAATCTTCTGACTGTAGATGGTATGATAATGTAGTAACGGGCAGAACCACCTTGAAGCACGCATAGGCCTTGCACTACATGGCAATGCACAACTCCTTCCAGCTGCCGCTGTCCTGCGCAATCTGATGCAGGCGTTGTAGGTCGTGCAGATTGTCGAGTTGACCATTGCTGGACATCTTCAGATCGGCTGAGAGAACCGACTGGATAGTGGTGCGTGATCGGCCCCTCCATTTCTTGGCATCCTTGTCTTTGAAGTAGTACTCCATTGCCATTCTTGCTGGACACTCATCTGGCAAACGAAGAATGTGGCCCAGCAAACGCCACCTCGCCCTCTTAACACCACAGCTCAGAGGCTCTACGCCTAGGGCCACATTGGAGATTTTCTGCGGCCATTTTACTTGGATCAGTGATCTGAGCTGCCGCCGATGGAACGCATCCAGCTGCTCTAGTGCGGACTTGGTCAGTGCCCAAGTGCTAGAGTTATACAGGAGAATAGGAAGTACAAGTGCCTTGTACAATCTCATTCTCCGCTTCTCGCTGATGATGGATCCTCTCTTCCAGAGTGACCACAAAGATGAAAATGCTACTGCAAAATAAACTGCAAATGAAAATTTGACTCTGAGATCGAGGAATCCGGCGATGTAACTAGAGATTTTGTTGCTCCCAATTCAGTACGCTGTGTCCCAGCACCACTTTTACACCGGGGCTAGCGCTAGTCACCGTCCTCGGACTGTCAAGCATGCACTGCCGGGCCTGGATCAAAAAATTCTCCGTACCCATATCAATGTTTTTTACTGGTTCCCGGGCATCCCGGGAACCGCCCTCTGTACGCCCTTGGGTTTCAATCCCAAACTACTGATAGTACTTGACAAACCTAATGTATCAGACGCACATTGGTTAAGTGCTTTGAAAAGTGAGAAAATAGACTTCTAGAGATCCTTAGCAATAAGAGCGTAACATTAAATTAACTTTCATGGCACTCACTCCCAGCCGTGAAAAATGTTGTTAACATATTTGCATTCTCTCTTTGTAAAGTAGAAGAAGAAAACACATGGGAACGAGTTATGAAGCAACTATCCACGACTGTAACAAGATGATAAGTAGGGCTGAAACGGTTACACATTTGTGCCTAACGGTTAGCTGTTAGCCTAACGGTCGGTTTACAGTTATAACCTGTAAGACTGAGACATAGAACCTTTATTGTTTTTGACGCCATTTTATGCCTTTTTTCAAGAATTTTCATGATGATGTACAAAATGAAGTTGAAGACACCACTGCAGCTGTACTTATGGTTGATAAATATGGTGGTAAAGACACACCTGCTATGGCGTTGCTGTGTCATTTTCTATGTGCCATGCGCTACTTGATGTACCAGCCTGCTATGTCGGATACCGCCAACCATGCATCGACGAGGCGCCAGGCGCGAACTGATGGTGGTGGTGGTGAGAAGGAGAGCTCTGTGCCAGAACTTTGCAGCCCAGAGAGCGTGTGTGGGCAGGCATGTGTTTACCGCCATATTGCCAGGTGTGTCTTTACCACCATATCAATTTTATCAACCATAAGTACAGCTGCAGTGGTGTCTTCAACTTCCTTCTCCCGAGTCAAGCGCCATATGAAGACATCCCCGGGGATGATGGCACATCGTGTAGGTCGGAAGCAGTTTCCCACGCTCCTGTGCTTTTGGATTTTTTTTAGCTGTGTAGAGACCGTCCCATGCCAGATACAACACTGTCCTTGGCTATGGCGACGGGCGTGCCAGTAGATGTCGAGTGTCCGGCAGATCTGGTGTCCCCCACCTTCGAATCGGCAAGTTCAAACCAGAGTACTAGTATGGAGAAATCATACTTTCTGAAGATCGTTGAAATACTGGAGCTAGACCGCAGTGCAGCTGAGGATAGGGAGAAACGACTTCTAAATCGTATCGACCACCTTACGCGGAAGGTAGAAGCGCTCTCAAACGAGATGACGGCTTTGCAGTCTGCTCAAGACGACAATGGCGGCCAAAGTCGCCAAGGATCTCCCTCGGTGCAAAAATCATCCCAGGAGAAACAGAAGCGAGTTGCAGCTTCCAGCCCTGGCATACCCGTACCCGTAGCTGGCTGTCCTCCAAAAGAACTAGTACGAGATTCGGTTGAACCATGCTCCTCAGTTGTACGTACCGAAAAAGATACCAGCGTGACTGAAGCGTCCAGGGTGCACGTGCATCAAATGGACCCAGATGCTCCAACTGATGCCAAACTTGGCAAACAAGGACTTTCCAGAATGCTCCCTACTTTTGAAGAGGATGCGGAAGGCAGCAATTTATGGCAGCTGATCTGCACCAAGAAGCCAACAGGAAGGAAGGCTGTTCTGTCCGTGGGCAACCTCCGGAAGGATTGCGATGCAGATACCCTTTGTCAATACGTACAACGAAGGGTGCAAGAGGTTGGCGTGAAGGTGCAAATCCATGATTGCACGCTATCTCCCAAGGAGAAAGGTCACTCAGCCCGACTCATTCTCAACAGGACGAGTATTGAACTTGTAAATACAAAGGAATTTTGGCCATCTCCGTACTACAGTCGAAAATGGAACTTCGACAAGTACCCTGGATCTGGGAACTCAGTGGATATGCAGAGGCCTGACGGACCAAAAGATCAGTCAACGACCAGCGATCTCAACGATGGAGTGCTTACCCGAAGCAAATCTAAAGGTCAATGCTGACAATCTCATTTCTGAATGTTTCCAGCTTCAGACGGAAAGTGGATGAGGTGAAGGAGTTCCTGTCAGCCAGAGGAGTGCACAATGTCATCTTTGGTATGTCCGAAACCTGGCTGAAACCCGATGTTGGTGATGGAGAATTGGCGATTCCTCATTACAAACTTTTCAGGAAGAACCGCCCCATCCAGCAAGTTGGTGGCGTCGGCATTTACTGCCATGAGTCTGTGGTTGTCCAAAGACGAATGGATTTGGAAGCTGCTGAGCTAGAGATTGTATGCTGGAAGTCAGATGTCCTGGTGATACTCTCCTTGTCGGGTGTGGATATCGTCCTCCAGACAAGCCAGTGCCGTACTGGGACTCTCTTCAAGAGAACATAGAAACTGCTATGGAAGGCCCTCAGGTGTCTACCGTTCTCATTGGAGACTTCAACATTGATTACAGCTGTGAGAACTCTCCGAACGCACAACATCTGCACCGAGTACTATCCTGTAGTAATCTTCGGAATTATGTTCTCACCAACTCGTGTCACGAGCCACACGGCTTCAACCATAGATCTGTTTCTGTCAAATACACCCATTTCTGGTGCCTGTGAAACGATTTACGGAGATATTAGCGACCATTTCGCCATCCTTGCACACTTGCCTGTAAACCAGACAGGGGTAAACCGAACATCACAACCCGGACAGAGTCGCCGTATCCAAACCATCAACTGGGAGAAGTTTCAGACTGATCTGTGTGTCCACTTTCATCAGTCCCCTCGGAACGGCATGATAAATGACATGACGATAAATGACATGACGGGTGCATTCACGTCTGCTATTATAGAAACACTAGATGAGCACGCCCCCTTGGTGGCGAGGCGCAAGCGTGGTCGCCGTATCTGTCCTTGGTTAACTGAGGAGTTGGTA